AAAAAAAAAAAAAAAGAAAAATTAGGGGCAAGAAAGAAGCTGAATATTGAAGATTATTTTTCAGGTAGTTTCAAAATAAGTTATATAATAGGGTTATCACTTCATTTTCACTAGAAACTTACTTGATAAGTCACCTGTTCATCTGCCAAACAAATAAAATACTTGTGTACCTAACTTTTAAATGGATACACATTCACAGAGATTATTAACGCTTAATTTTCCCTCTTACATTTGGGTTAGCCTTGGAAGATTCACTTCCTTTCAGCTGAAGTAAAGTCAGAATCTCGTGTCTGACAGATTTTTAAAAGTGCTTCTTTTGGAAAGAGCCAATTCCTACACGTGTGGAGTCACTGGCAGCGGGGAGCATACACCGCGAGCATGTGCACTGTGTGGCTTTGCCGAGACAAAGACTTCAGGTAGCTCTGCTCCTGAAACAAATGAGATTCTAATTTCAAACGTTTTTCAAATGCAAATAAGGCCCCCATGAATCATTTTGAGGATGTTTTGAGGCATTAATGCAGCAGAGTTAGTATTCCTCCAGTGATCCCCAAAGTCACCTCTTGGCTAAACAAATTCCTCTTCTTGATTATTTTGAACATGTCAACATCCTGTCTCATCTTCACACAGAGAACGACTGATCTCCAAATGACCTATTATTATCTTAAACCAGCTTCCTTTTGAAGCAAGCAAGAAAGAAAAATCAAATAGTGCGTTAACCTTTCATATCGGTGAAACAGACTTTTTTCCCCATGCCTGAAGTGGTTTACCCATCTGTGGAAAGGTCTGTCTTTTGTTTTTCCCTGTGTTTATAGGTTACATTTTTAAAAGTACTAGTAGAGCCTCTGTACAGGGGGTTGGTTCCCTAAAAAAAATAAGGAGAAGAAAAGTTCAAATTAAAATGTGGCCATGTTGCTATTATCCATTTTAATATTTCTAAACATTTTCATTACGGTTCAAATTGGAAGAGTCAAGTTCAATCTAAAAAGCCATTGGAATAATTTTGATTTATTTGATATTTCATACTCATAACATTTTAAATTCACATATTTTCATTTTACTTTTAATATATAAAATCAGTCTCATAATGTGTATTCTAAAATATCTTACCTTTTTTGGAGCCCTGGAAATGCACTAATTCGTGGGTAGAAAATAAGGCTTGGGCTTGGGCTACTTTGGCCCCTACCCCTGCCCCCTTTTCTAGTTCTGAGAATAAGGTTCAGGCCATAGAAGGTACTCATTATGTATTCAATGAATATTGATAGGTGAACCAAACATGAGGTGTAGGGCAAAAAAGTCAAAGATGGGAAAAGTGAAACTGGTAGAAATAGACACATATGAGAGTGGCCCAGGATCTACCTTTAATGAGCCGATGGCTGCTAGTGAGAGGAATCAGAAGAATGAGATGTTGCTAAAACCAGATCAAAACTTAGAAGGGGAAACAACTGCCTGCTCTGAAGGTGCAGAGATGGAGTCCTTGGATAGTAACAGTCTCTCTGGACAGAACCCGATGGTCTCTCCCTACATAAAAGAGTATAAAGAACTGCAAGCGACTGGCATGTGGGACCTGGGGTTCCCGAGTGAGAGGAGACATCACGGTGGACAAGGCAAATCAGCTTTGTCCTTGTGGTTTTGGGGAGGATGTGTGTCGAGCCTGGGTTGCTTGGTTGTGCTATTTGGGCTGAAAATGCTTCGTGTATTAACAGCTGTGGTACTGTGGTCACAAGGATCAGAGAACAAAGTCTGCCTAGCTGTTTAGGCAGGAGCAAGCAGTAGAATCTATAAGGTAGAATTTCTTCCCTCCAGCTTTCCAAGGCTGACCACATTGGTTTTTGCATTAGACAGCTATAGTTTGAATCTACTCTAGACCTGAAGTAACTCCGAGCATTAGTGTCCTCATCTATTAAACAGGGGTTATTAAACTCCCTACTTCATCCATGAGGTAACGTAATTTAACTCTATGCTTGGCACCTAGTATATGCTCAGTGAATGCTGCCTCCTTTTATTTGTTTTTATTTACAAATTTTCTTCCCATTTGCAATTTCATTTCGGGCCTGGAGAGGGTTGTAAAATATTTTCCACTGGGACTCTGGTACTCTTAACATGTTCAAGCTCAGTTCTGATCATGTGTGGGGTCCACTTACTACCTCTAAGGTGCTAAATTTTAACTACAGTACATTATTCAGTGAATTACAGAGATAGTAGCAATTTCTCAGCACACACTTGAAGAAAAACGTATTTGCTGTCTCATCATGGTACTTTCCTTTCAATTTTCAGAACTAAGTAAAACTAAATCATACCCTTGGCCCCTCCCACTATTGCCCTTGGACTTACTGCAGCCCCTTCTCTGTGAGCAAGTATCATACCTGTACCTCTTCCTAAGTTGCCTGGAGCATGCAGCTCGGCCTTTCCCTAAATGTTGGGTTTCCTTGGTCATGGCCTTTGGGGAGATGCTATCTCTATGTTGAGGGCCAATGGAAAAGGGGAACTTTGGCTGGTGATGGATGATGGGGAAAGTCAGGATATATATATATATATATATCATGCCCTTGTTCTGTATTTTATTTATTTTCTTCAGGTGTTTATCTTTGTACTTCATGCTCATGTTACATAATGATTTCACTCATATGGGGAGCTGGTACATGTGCATAATTGCCTTGAGTTTTGAGATCACCCTGTATAATTTCAAATTATCTGTAGCCTTTATTTAGTCCTGCTGCCATAACAGTTTGGAATTTTTGAGGGTAAAGGGTAGAGTGATGTGGTCTTATATGTGGGGAGAGTTTGATTTGCAAACAAAAATCATGTGTGGAATTCTATGAAGTTTCAGAAACTAGAAACTGCTTGGTTGTAATAAAATAAAAGACTTAAATGAAGGGGCAAGATAAAAAACATTAAGAGGAACAGGCTGAGGCTGACAGAGAGAGCTGCCCTGGAAGAAAAAGAAGACTTAGCAGAAGAGACACTCGGAAAAGCTAACAGGATTTCTGTGGGGCCAACTCATATCTTTGTAGGCCCAAGCTCTTGTTTGTAGGTCCTAACCCATATCATGTCAAACATTAAAATGTACCCACATCCCACACTGAATAGAATTTATATTTATACTTGCTATGAAAAAGTACTTTGAGTTGCAATCGACAAAATAGCAAAATACTACTCTATAGATAGCTAAATGTGTGATCTTGGTTATGCAGTTTTCATTCTGTATTTTGGAGCAACTACATTTCTTCAGGTTGGAATATCTGGGAAGGGGATAAAGCAGACTCCACCACAGTGGGTGAGTAAGGAAGCATCACAAAGGCGAGGGAAGACAAGCCCATGTTGCTGTTGACTTGCTCTCGTTCTGTGCCCTTGGAGAGAGACATTATCTCTGTCTGAGGGCAGAGAGGAAGGGGGGCGGGGACAGGCACTCCACCTGTGCTCAGACCCAGTTTGGTCTGCAGGAGGGGAAGGGGAAACATGCATCATGGCTTCCCTGGCGCCATGCAGCAGCAGCCTCCCGCATCGGGGCTCCGGCTGGATGCAGACTTGGGCCTGCCCGGCAAGTGAGCCTCCACTCCACGGTTTGCCCCTGTTCCTCTGAGGTGACCAAGTTGATTTCCCCTTGCAGAACTGGGACACTAATTTAGGCTATAGATTCTGGAAATGCAGTGGCACGTCTTTCAAGCTTGAAAAAAGTGATAATAAGAAAACTCTCCGTCATGACCTAATGACCACCTAACTGTCAAATGCAGACCTGATTTGCTTAGCACAGAACAAAATCAATCCACGGCTGCAAGAAATGTCAGGCGGAACATTTTTTTTTTTGCCTCAAGTTAATGACTTGTCATCCTAGAAAAATGTCTAATCAAAGGTGAATTTAAATATCTTCCATTTGTGTTTTCATAAGGGATATGCAGGAAGCTATTTTTAAAATGTAATATAAAGATAATTTCTCCTTATAGCTGTGATAAAAATATTTCAGGAGGCAAGAGGAGATCTTTCTGTCCAAAGCTCCATCACCTTAAGAGCCCAATGGGCCTGGGGGTTGAGGAGACTGCATTGTACCTTCTGTTCTTGGGTTTTAAGATCAGTCAAATTCACTTTTTGAAAAGAAATAGGTTATTGATAAAAACTGAATTAAATTGAAGACCTTTAAATGCATGCACTGAGCAATGCTGTTTTTCTCTGGGAGGATATATTAGTGAAATTTGAACTGAATGATTTGAATTAAACCTCTTTTGCATTCAAGTGAATAATTATTACCCAGTCATTATCTAGTCAGGAACATCAAACATTTGTTATTCAAAAAAACTCAATTTAACAGGGGAATACTATTTTTCATTTATGCTTTTTATCTGTTTAATACATGTTTTTGTCCCATTTTAGATGAAGAAACAGCAAGGATTTAAGCATTTGAATTTCAGTCATGTTCCACATCCTGATGGAAAATAATTCATGATTTGGGGGGAAATTAACTGTTAATTAAAATGTTATTTTAAAGATATGAATCGTTTGTCATTACTCATGCCCTTGTATGAGAACATTAAAATATGCTGGTTACCAGATTAACATCACATAATTGCACAACTGCTTATTTGCAGAGCACTCGCTTATTATTTCTAAGAGGTCAACCAAAGGTTGTGCTTGGAAGACCAATAAACAATTAGAGTTCAACTCCACTTTCACAAGATATTTGGGGATTTCCTCAACCTACCTACCTTTCTTCCTTCCAAAAGAAAAAAGACCCTTTCTTTTGTACAGGGTCTTGCTACACAGCTTGGACTCATAGTGATCCTCCTGTTTCAGCCTCCCCAGTGCTGGAATTACAGGCATTTGTTACCAAGTCCAGCTTGGGTGGCATGTAGTACCAGGGATCAAATTCGGGTGCTTGGGCTTACCAGGCAGGCGCTTAGACTACTGAGCTATCTCCCTGGCCCCTCCTCAACCTTTCTTCATCTCAGTTTACCCACTGTCACAGTGGGGTTGGCTGATGTCTACTGCCCTTCTGACTCTGTCAAGCATTTGCTTAACAATTGGTGAAGACTTGAAAATAACATCTGTGGTCTTGGTAATTAGGTAACTTTAAGCATGCCTTAGCTTTGGCCTTAACACTATGTTGCAGGTGACTGAGCTAGCTATGAGGTTTCATTTTACTGTACTAAGGATAGATTACCTGCATTCTCATTGCAAATCCATAATTTGCTTTCCTAATATTCAGTATACATTAATTTTTTCATTTGTCTAAAAATGTATTCTTAGAATTAGACTGTAGAAATCCGGATCTAAACAATACCCATTCATTCATCACATTTGTTGGTTGTATCTAATGGGATTTTTAATGGGAAGATAAATTTCCCTTTCTGTTATTCTTTACCATATACAATGATTAGTTTGAAATAACTGACTAAAACATAAACATCCTTTGTCTAGATAAAATTATCTAAAATAGAAAATTTCATTTGCTTTAGGAATTGAAGGTATTGCTATAGGCTTAGAGAAAACATTGTTAACATCAATTTATTTGTGCAAATGAACCCAAAGGAATATTGTGTTTGCCTGTATTTTCTCCAGTGTTTTTAGAATCTTCAATGTAATATAGTTGCTATGAGATAGATAGACACACCATTATAGATAAAGAGATGAAATTAAAACCATGAAATTGTTTCCAGGGGTCTCTAGAAATGTAATTATCTCTCTTGTGGAAAAGAGACACAAAAATTGTAGTCCTGTTTTCTGTTTGCCTACTGTGAAAAAAAGGCTCTTAAATTATTTCTATTGAATACATATATTTAAAAGTTGATACCTCATATTTTAGTAGATAACATTTATGTTATTCACATAAATTGCCTGGTATTTAAACAGTTTTCTCAACAGCTTTGAACTTGTTATATCAGTAACAACTATTTCCATAGAAACTGGCATGAACGCTCATACTACGCAATGCATTATTTCATTAGCTATCACATTTATGGAGATGTTTAGATCCAGCACCTATGATTCATCAAGCGAGACTGAGGGATCTTCCTGGCGGGAAGGAGGTGCTAAATAAAATATACCTCCAAGATGTCCTTAAGGCATTGTATAGGGAGTTTCATGACACTTTAGAGTGGTGCCAATCCCCAGTGCATGTTGAGACAAGTACATGCAATGAGGGCTATCTGGATCCAGATACTAGACAGAGATTCCTTGGCCCCTGAAGCAGAACAGAAATCAAAGTTGTTGGGGTTATGATGAGAGTGTTAGAGAAGGAATGTGACATCTGAATTCTCCTTTAGATAGAAGAAAGAGGAGCACCACCCCCATTATTTCCATCAGTAAGTGCTGAGCAAAAAGTAGTACTAAGTGTTCACATACTGTCTGCCACTTGGCCTTTGATCGTTCTGCTTCAAATTTGGCAACTTCTTTACGGTCATGAAATGACACCAGCAGCTTCCAAATGCATAGTAGGACAACCCCAATCAGAAGAATAGCCAGTGAAACCCCCAGCATGATCATTGGAATGTTTGGAGGTTTTGGGCAATCTGTAGAAACAAATGAAATTGTGTAAAAAAGCTGAAACAATCAACATTGTCATTTAGGAAAGAACACTTTTGTTTCAAGGTTTTAAGGTTTGAACCAACGGCCCTGCACAGAGGAGGCAAGTGTTTTATCATCAAGCTACATTCCTAGCCCATGGCAAGATATTCTTATTGGCTTTTACACTCATACTTTCTCTGCAGTAGAAGTTAACATTGACATCATTTTGTCTTTCCAAAAGTTTTTAAAAATAAATTGGTTGTGAAAGGATAGCTCTTTATCGTCTCCAAAATAGAATGAAAAATACAATAAAAATTTAATCATTCTAAGTAAATGAATATACAGTCAGCTTTCCATATTCTTGGGTTCTGCATGGTCAGATTGAAAACAGTGGGAAACAATGAGTCCTTATTGAACAAATGCAGTGTCCCCCACAATATTATCCTTTAAGCTATGAATATAATAACTATTTACATAGCACTTATATTGTATTATGTGTTAAAAGTGATCTAGAGATGATGTAAAGTATACAGCAAGTTGTGTGCAGGTCATATGAAAAACTACATATCTTTTTGTAAGGACTTTGAAGATCCAAATATTTTGGTGTCTGCAGGAACATCTTGGAACTAAGGGATACTGAGGGATGACTGAGTACTGGATGATGGACTAAAAAAGTTAGAATCCAAAAAAGGACCTGTGATACACATGGAACAGTCAAAGGACCATTAAAAAAACCACATAGTTTCGTCAGTAAAGCTGTCTCTCTTCTGAATACATGATGAAGTAGAAATGGAGTGTGTGTGTGTGTGTGTGTGTGTATGTGTGTGTGTGTTTGTTGCATGCAACTACTTCTTCAAGGATCTTTTTGAATCATGAGCAGTCTAGAAGATTACAGTGGTACCTTGGTTCATGAATTTAATTCTTTTAATGACAAGATTGGTGGCAAACTTAATTGGACAAGAACTGAATCAAATTTACCCATAAGGTTGATGTTGAACCTAACCATTGAATTTGATTTTATTCTTGTCCAATCTGGTTTGCAACCAGAATCATGGAAAAAGTTAAGTGCATGAAATGAGGCACCACTGTTCATTAAAAATTATGCAAAACACAACCCCTGAACAAATTAATGTGTAGCCAGACATGGTGGTGCACGTCTGTGATCCCAGCACCCAGGAGGCTGAGACAGGAGGATCACTGTGAGTTCTAGGCCAATCTGTGCTACTTAGGGAGTTCAAGACCAGCCTGAACTGCATAATGAGACCTGTCTCAAAGATAAAAAAAAATTGTTTGCTGCTGCTTCCTTTCTTACAGATAGAAGGCAATCATGGCTCTCAGTTTTATTTTGTTGAACCTTAACGCAAGGCTCTGATATTGAGGAAAGTTCTTGGACTATAGCAGGGAATGTTAGGTTCAGTTCCCGTCTGATACACAGTACCTGTGTCCCTGGCCTCATTTGTGAAACAAAGTTCAGTGTTACTTCAACTTTCCCAATCACAGAAACAAGCTGGGGTATTTGTGCTTAGCTCTCCACAGATTTCCAGACATTTTCCCTGAAATTATGGTTCAGTTGGCCTTGAGTGAAGGCACAGATTTTTCATTACTAGAGGTATTACAAGTGATTCTTCAGGGAAGCTTGAGAAATTAAATGTTCTATACGGTCTTCTCAACTTGAAGATTCTATGAAATGTTATTTGACTTTATTAATAGTAGTAATATAATTTTTCAATTATATATTACCTTCTTTCATTGACACCAGAAAGACTAATGATTCTTGCAATATGCTTCAGAGATGATACATCTCTTAATGAAATATTGTAATTAAGATCTCATTTTGCTTTCATGGTAAAAAGCTTACGTAAAAATTATCATTAAATATCTGCATCTCTCTGCAAGAAGTGCAGCAAAATCTATGGTACCTGGGGAGAAAATGAATAATGCTTAGTTTATCCTGTTATTGCTCTTAGATATTTAATAAGGGAAGTTAGACACATAGAACTGATCATGCTGCTTTTCAGATCAGATCTACAGCCAATCTGAATCTGAGGGGGACTAATGATTGCCTAACAGCATGATGCCTGGCCTTACACATTTCTATGGCAAAGAATTATGTAAGGAGATTATGCAGAAATAAGTAAAGTTGCTAATGACATACCTACTACAGCTTGAAGATCTAAGGACTGTGTTTTGGCATAGCAAATGAAGCATGGCTGCCTCTAATAGGTTAGCACTAGTCCTGCAGAGAAAGCAGCAGGTTGTGTCAATGAGAATATGCATGGTATTGGTTATATCTTTGGCTAAGAAATGTCTGGGGTGGGGCATAGCATATTCCTGTGCAAAGTGGGGTGAAGTTTGCTAAGCCCTTGAAGCCAGAATGTAAATTTGGAGGACTCTCTAGGAAGGAAGAAAGGAGGACTAGGCATAGCTTGGCAAAGAAAATTATTTTAGGAGGTGAAATTCATTGGATATTATGCATTTCTTTCTTTTTTTATGTAGTTGGTACAGGGTCTCACTACGTAGCTTGGACTCAGTGATTCTCCTATTTTCAGCCTCCTACTGCTGGGATTTCAAGTGTGCACCACCACGACCAGTCTCAGTGGTCAACTCAGTGAGCCCAAGAGCATCCCTGGCAAGGCATGTGGTGCTGAGGTTCAAACCCTGGGTCCTGCACTTGCCTCAGCAGGCGCTTACTCCACTGAGCTATCTTGCTGGCCTGCACTATGCATTTCACAAGAAAAGATTTTGGCCCAAGTACCAGGGCAACTGCTGCACAATGAATCTCTTTACTCTTCACATTCCCTTTAATATTTCATTTGATACTCAGATTGAAGGCATATTTGTATGTTGAAGAAGAGGTTACCTCTATCCCTGTGTGTAATGTTGTCTGTCAGATCCAGGTCAATGTTTTGCCTAATGCTAGCTATGTAATGCTGCTTCTGGATATTTCCGTAATAGCTTGAGGTTCTGTATTTCCCTTGCTATGTATTTTATTTATTTATTTCCTTCGGAGGTTGAACTTGGGACTTCATGCTCACCCTGCAGACACTCACGTCGCTGAGCTATCTAGTAGCCCAAAAGTTTCTGGGTATTTAACACTGGGCATTTAGTGCTGTTTCTAGATATCTAATGCTGGGTATCTAATGCTGCTTCTCTGTCCAGTCTGGTAACTCTCCCATATGTGGCTACTGAAGACTTGAAATGTGACTTTTCCACATTCAGTGGTTCTGTAAGTGTAAAACAAACACTGATTTTGAATATTCTGGGTGAAAAAAGTAAAATTAATAATTTATTTGTTATAATAAATTAATAATTTTATGTTGATTTCACATTAAAACAATATTTCGGAGAGAGCAGCAAATAAAATTGATTTCATATGTATCCTTTCATTTTTAATGTGGTTCCCAGAAAATTTTAAGTACTATGTATGGTTCACATAATAGTCTGGAAAATGCTGATCTAACAACTTCGGCAATTCAGACATTCATTGTTGTGGCACAGCCAGCGGGAGGCAGTGTAGCACAGTGGTTACGGGCTTGGACTCCAAGCCGGGCTGCTGGAGCTCTTCAACCAGCTCTGCCACCTAATCAACTGTAAGAGCTAGCAAATTTCTTCTGTCTCTCTGCCTCTGTCCTCCACTGTAAACAATAACAGCAGTACCTGCTTCATATGACTGCCGAGAGTGTTGAGTGGGTTAAGACACGCAAAACATGAGAAGTACCCCCTGCCCTGCGGCACGAGTGAGGGCTCTACAGTGAGCACTGCTGTTCCTATTGTTACAAAAGTGCACTCTCCTCCCTTTTCTGTCTCTACACAGCAAGGGCCTGGATCCTCCAGAGTAGGACCTGCAGGTATAGCATCTACAGTAGGTGGCACCTTCCACCCAGGAAGCCTCCTCTGCTGTCATTCTTTGGCTCTGATGTGACTCAGGCTCTGAAAGTTCCTCCAGATATGAGAAGGATGATGAACAAAGCTCCACCCAAGCTCACAAGCCCCATGATTTTGTTTGCAAAAGAAAGTCTACCCAGATCTAAGACTACTCTTCACTTGCTCTTTCTTTTCAATGTGCTCAGAGGTCTCTGCAAATGAGTAACCATTTCCTCGCCTTCCTCCTTTGTCATTTTGCCTGTTTTCTCTCCAAGTTTTGAAGTTGAAGACTTGGGATTCCGGGTCTTCACACTGTGGGAGGCGAAGGACAACAGACCTGTGGGCTGGGCACTATGTGCAGGGCTTGTGGAAGAGCCCGGCCCACCTAGGAATGGGATATTTGTGGAGGAAGAGGCAGCAGAGGAGCTGTCAGGATGACTCCTGTGAGGCCTCAGGCAGGTAATTTCTTCCTTCACTTTTTCCTACTATGAAAGCATAGAAAATAGATAAAATGTTGCAATAAAAAGGCATCAGGGCAGCTGTGCATGCTCTAAAGGATGACATGCTGATGTGCCACACAAATTGTGTGGAAAAGTAGAAGAATAAACAACTTAGTAATGAGAAGACATTTATCAGCCCAAGGCAAGTTTCACAGAAAGAAAACCAAACCAGCTTGATACAAAAGCCTCTGTGTTCAAAGGAGGGCCTGCTCTGGAAGTTTGTCTCTGTTGTTTGGGATGCGTTTTCCAGTAGAATCAATGCGATGGGATCCCAGGATGATTTTGATTTCAAGATAACTTGCTAAATCCACTCTCAGAGTCACAGATGGTTGGGCATAGCTGGAGAATTTGACTTTATAAAGCAAATGATGAGGAAAAGATACTTTTGTATTCTGAAGTTATCCATCTTTGTACAGCAAAATTCACCTTTTAATGGCTGCAAGATACATTTTATGTATGCATTTCAAAAAAAATCAATTTACATAAGTTTTTCAAGAAAAGGCCTTCAGGAGCATTCTGCCCACCTGAGATTCAAAATCAAGCTCTCAGTTATCCTGGATCATGCAACCTCCAGCTCTCTCTTGTGCTCTGCATGGAAATGTGATGTTTTCCTGATCATATTTTCTTGATTGGACCGTGATGCTTTCAACCTAGATTTTGGTTACACTGGTATTGTTTTAATTTTAATGTTCTTCAGTGGTGCCAGTTTGATAGCTTTGATTTCAAATTGGAGATTTCACTTTTTGTTGTTGTTGTTTCTTTTTCGTAATACTAAGATTTAACCAAGAAGTTCTTGTGTGAGTTATACTTCTGCCCTTTTGGTTCTCTGAGCAGCACCACGGCAGTAGGCAAGAACATGCACCTTCTGAAAGGCATCAAAAAAAGGAGCCAAGAAGAAAGTAGTTGATTCATTTTCTGTAAAAGATTGTTACAATGTGAAGGCACCAGCTATGTTCAACATAAGAAATATTGAAGAAACACTCGTCACCAGAACTCAGGGAACCAAAATTGCATCTGATGGGCTCAAAGGTCGTGTGTTTGAAGTGAGCCTTGCTGATCTGCAGAATGATGAAGTTGCCTTCAGAAAATTCAAGCTAATTACTGAAGATGTTCAGGGCAAAAACTGCCTGACTAACTTCCATGGTATGGACCTCACCAGTGACAAAATGTGTTCCATGGTCAAAAAATGGCAGACCATGATCGAAGCTTATATTGATGTAAAGACTATCTGTGGTTACTTGCTTCATTTGTTCTGTGTTGGCTTTACTAAAAAACGCAACAATCAGATCCGGAAGACCTCTTACGCTCAGCACCAACAGGTCCACCAGATCCGGAAGATGATGGAAATCATGACATGAGAGGTGCAGACAAATGACTTGAAGGAAGTGGCCAATAAACTGATTCCAGACAGCATTAGGAAAGACATAGAAAAGGCTTGCCAATGTCTTCGTGAGAAAAGTAAAAATGTTGAAGAAGCTCAAGTTTGAATTGGAAAAACTCATGGAGCTTCATGGTGAAGGCAGTAGCTCTGGAAAGGCTACTGTAGATGAGACTGGAACTAAAATTGAATGAGGTGATGGATATGAACTACCAGTTCAAGAGTCTGTTTAAGATCCAGATTTTTAATAGTGATAAAGTCCTATTTGTGATGGAAAAAAAGATATAACCTACAGCTAATAAACTCATATAAGCATAATTTGGTGAGTTTTGACAAATATACAGTACATCTGTGAAACCATCAAAACCAAAATCCTGAACATGTCTAGTACTACAAAGAGCTCCCTCCTATGCTTCATAATCCATCCTCCTTTCTCCCACGCATACACTCACAGATTTACTTCCTGATGCTACAGATGCATTTCTTTTCTTTCCTTTTTGTCAGCATATGAAAGCAAGGCCTTGTAGTCTGCACTTGCCGCTGTCATCTGGATTACAATTTAGGCTTTAGGCTTCTGGGGAGAGGAGGACGAGAGGGGCAGAGTCCGATGAGGTCTGATTTCATGCTGCTGTCATTTCTGAGGAAAAGTTTTAGTGGGAACACTCCATTCATTGAAGACAGTAGATGCAAGAACCCTGTTTCTGACAACTCTGCAGAATTGTTATGGCAGTCATTCAAAGACAGAACTTGGGACCATCTGTGTCAGGATCAGGTCACTAAAATGCAGAGACCTGGGCCACTCACCAGTCCTGCTGACTCCAGAGGGAATTTTAACGAGCTTCCAGGTGAGTCTGATAACTACTACATATGAAAACGTCTTAACAAAAGCACATTCTCCACTACTTCCCTTTGTACCTAATATAAACTTCTCTCTTCCCTTTGCTGGATATGAAATTTTTATTTGAGTTTTCCCCAAGTCCCTAACAGATTGCAGGCACTGAGATGAATGCAAATGCACAGAAGCAATCAGCTCTCAAAGATTCTTTACAGACAATGTCCTTCCTCCCTGTCTATGCTAGATCTTTTCTGATTCAGCACTATCGCTTAATGACCGTTTGCTGTGAGTTATGGGACTCCACATGCATTATTCCATCCATGCCTTGAACCAGCTCTTAAAAGGAAGTACCATTTGCCCTCATTTTACAAATGAGGAGAGATGAGAAAGGCAAGTATGTTCCAGGATATGGAGCAGTTGTTAAGTGGTAGAGCAGTAGTTGAACTAGTTTGTGTAAGTTAATATCATTTTTAAAATCAGCTACACTTCCCCTTTTCCCTAGCTTTACCAAAAGACGTGTTTTATCGGTTTCCCTTTCCACAGTTCAGCACCCACTTTGAGAGAGAGAGAAAGATGGGGCAAATACAAGCCATTGTGTTACTTGGCCTCAATAAAAGACAGAAAAATTTTGGAACATAGAAAACCTTTTGATGAGTATCTGTAATCCTTGGGAAAGTAGGGACATTCCATTAATAATTTGGAAATGTCTACTCTGGCAAACTACCTGAAGTGACTTTCTAAATATTTTCTTCCCTGCAGTATTACTTGCCATTGACGATGGAAGGCAAGCAACCCACCTTTTTCATTGATGCTGTGAATGATGGTTTTCCCCTCATTATCTGTACTTATTAGGAATGTAATAAGACATTCATTTTCTCCTTGCAGGGAGCAGGAAACAGAACTATCCTTTGAGAAATCTGTAGATAAAAGGAATCATTCATTAGGTCAAATTAGATTCAAAAAAGATTATCTTAAAAGCAGAGTAGTATTGAGTTTTAATATGCAAATGAGAATTTTCAATATTGCAGAATAGGAATTGAAAAGCCACAGCATTTTTCCCACCAAGTGAGATTCTCAGCTTTATTCACGTTCCAGAAGAATGGTTAGAGACATGGTTAATCAGGACTGACCATCACAGGTACCTATCAAACTGCCGTGGGCAGGATTCAATAGAGTGCACTCCCAGGCAGGTGCCCACAGCTGTCTCGGGAGTAGAATAGCCTTGATTATGGTAATGAGGAGGCTATATGTTTCTATGTGCAGGAAGCATCTGAGAGGATGTCTAGATTACATTGCTGCTCAGTCCAAACTGATATTGATACTTTAAAAGGGACCTTTCCCACAATGGCATAGTCAAGATTGCCAACCAAGTATTGTCACAGCTGTAAATATAAATTAATATCAAGAAATAGAAACTGAAGCCCTGTGTAGCTGAGGGACAGGGGGATAAAGGGAAACCTCAGACTTAAAGGAGCTCAGAATCATTATCTGTCATTCAGCAGAGCTCGCTTAATTAAAAGGTCTAGTTTTGCTCAAATCTTTTCCAAATAATGTATTTCTTGTTATGATTATTCAAGAGTCAGAGTCATGACAGAAATTGAAAAAAAAGTAAAAGGCCAATATAAGATTTATGTATTAGAAATTCTAGTGGTTTAGCTCCTCAGCCAAAATCCTGTAGTACTTTCTTAATTAAATAAAACAACAAAAACCCAAACTCCTTCATTGTTCTCCATCTTCTGAGTTGGAGAATCTTCCATGATACTAGTACATTTTTTTTTAGGAGAATGACCATTTACTCTTAATGTAAGACATATGCTCCAATATGTGTGTGTTTTGAGGCAATGTTCAGAATATTAAGAATCAAACTGTCCCAGATAATCTTGGATACGTTCTTCCTAGACTTCATACCTCTGTTATTAGCTTGAAAATGGTAAGTGTTAATAAAATAGAATCCATGTGTGTTTCTCTCTTTCTTACAAAGAAAAATTAAGTAATAACCTATTTGGTGTACACAAGTACTACAGCTATAAAAAAGTAAATATTACATTGTCATTGCTCTTTTGGATTTAAGATAAAAACCTACAAGAAGTGTGCCTTGTATTATTCCTGAAGCTGTGGGTTTAGTAAAACATTTAGCATAAGATTTTAGACAATGGATTTAAGTGAATAAACTCTTTAACACATTAGAATCATCTCTGAATTTATATAGGTATACTAATGACAATCATTCTAGTCTGAGCTTTTCCAGATGTTTATGACCACCTGAATCACTTGAGGGTTGAAAAATATGAATTCTGGGTACAGGATCTTGATGTGAAAAGCCAGTGGTGTGTGTGGGTCTGTGAACTTTTAGGGAATGATTTAAGAAGCATCTTAATAAAACGATTCTGGGTAACACTTGCTTAATGCAATTTGTATTATTTCTGTTGTGTTAGATCGCAAATGCCACTGCATATACAGTACATACTGTCGTCATTTTTAGACGGACTTCACTATACGTTGCCTACCTTTCTACTCCAATTAACTAAAATCCGTGAAATCTTTCCTTTTCCCCTCTTTCCTCCCTTCCTCCCTACCTTCATCCCTCCCTCCTCCTCCCTCTTCTCTGCCATGCGACAGACAACACAGGCTTTCTCTGCTCATTCAAATATACTTAATGGAACATTTTGTTCTCAGGTAGAACACACGTGGATGGCCTATCACGCTCATTTCAGTAATATTAATTGTGTCTTATTTTCTTTTAAGTGCTGCACTGAAGCACAGGGAGGCTTACTTTTCTTGGCTACGGCTATTTAAATTTTAATGAAACTGCCAGCGTGACCTTTGAGTCAGGACTCCAGCCCTGCTTTAATCACATCTGCACTCTGTTTCTCGTGACGGTTACAGCTCCAAATGTAGCCTGGTTAATAGTGTTTGGGTTTTGAGGTAGTATTATCAAATGTGCATTGAAAGATTTGAATAATAAGTGGCTAGGATTTTCTTTTGTTGCTCATAAAAAATGGTCATTTCTGTGCTACCCGCCTTTGTGAGTGCCTGCATTGCTACTCCAGAGAAACACAGCTCCTCCCCTTGGGGACCCCGCGGCATCATAGAGAAGGAAGAACCCTGAGAGAGAAGGTAAAGAGGGAATGTCTGGAGAAGGCCAAGAAGAAAAATGTGGAAAATATAAGCCATCTGCCCAGCTGAGTCAAGAAAATCAAGGTTTAAGACACTGGCTCTGGGGTCAGTGAGCAGTTCTCAAAGAATCAGCTTCCTAAGGGGGTAATAAAGGATCCTAAGGACAAGTAAGTGTGGGAATCCCTCTTTTACTCTAGTTCTTTTAGTTTCTTCCCTTTCCCTTCCTGGGGATTCACACACTCACTTAATTTAATGTGTTCAACAACTCTCAATAGTCTTGCAAGGCAAGACTCTTAATAAAATTTATCTGATGGTGCATTCTTTTTTCTATTCATTGCCTTCAGAACTAGTGTTCCATGGAATACGCTTTGAGTAACAATGCTCTGAGTATGTTAATATTGGGGTAATCAAAAAACATGAGTCAGTAAAATGAAATGAATAAGGCTACATTTAATGTTCTTAGATAGGCTGACTCAAGTTCCCCACAGCACAATTTAGGATCAGTTCACATGAGTTATACATTTATTTCATTTCCCTCTCTGCATCCTCACCGGGGGATGTATGGGTTTGCTAAAAGACCTGGTGGAATAGGAAATATGATGTGATCATTTCAAGGCAATATAATCAATAAAATATGTGGGTATATAGTTCCAAACAGGCTCATTAGAAAAGTCTCCCCTCCCCCAGTAATCCCAGTACTCTGGGAGGCTGAGGCAGGAGGTTCATAAATTTTGAGTTCACTGTGGGTACTTAATGACTTAGTGAGACCTCATCTCAAAGTAAAAAATAAAAATGAAAAGGACTGGGAGAGGGTAGTTCAGAAGGCCTGGAAATCTCCAGTACTTAAAAGAAATTTGACTTTTTAACTCAGTCTGATAAATAACCTTTTTTGTCTCAAATTCATCCAGATTAGTTCTTTAGATGGTATTAATAATCCAATTATTATTTCTAATTCTAAGTTAGAAATACAATTTGTCTCTTTTTCTAAACTGATTTAGTCAAATAGACCAAAAAATGTAAATATTTAAAATACCACTTTAGCCTAGCCATCTTTTCAAACCCAAGAGCTTACAACAATCTACTCAGAAAATGACACACCTAACTGCAATAAGCACTCCATTCACACAGCAGGATTTACATTTTCCTAAGGTTTATGCCTCTTTTTTCCCTGCAACACATTAGATTTCCCATGTTGGTGGGGAATTGAGTTCCAGTCATTTAAGGGCATTTTCTGCAATTTGTGCTCATTTCTCAGAGACTTCTGGTAAACAGCCCCACTGTTTGCTGTGAAATGAATCTAGAAAGATAGGCTGAGACTCAGCACTAGTTATGAATGTGGACAAATGCTGCTTCCCTCAGTGCTGTAATGTTTTTACCTTTGGTATTAGTCTTGGGTACATACTGTCTTATCCCATTTACTGCCATTTGGTATGTTTATCTTTGGTCACCAGGGAAGCAGAGATGGGGGCTTTCATGAACACTAGTCGTGTCTCGCTACATAGGGTAATACAACTGTGCAGTCAGGTTTCTCAATTTTGAAACCAGGTAATTTTCAAAAGAATATAAATGTCATTATATCATTTCATTTTGGAAATGGGTTAATTTCAAAATCCTAATTTCATCTATTCAGAATACATATCATACAGTGTCATAAATTATTGTCTTGGTTATTTCCCGTCACCCGAGTCAGTCTCGGCCACATTTATAATGTTTGCAGAGTAGCACTTGTACCTGAGCTGCATGACTCAGAGTTTGTGATGACACAAATCCAAATTCCTCTCAATTATCCCTCTGGGAAGAGTCAGTCGTCTACTTTATTTTAAGCTTCACAAATTAGTTTTGTAAATGGCCTTCCCAGTCAAAATGCAATTGAGTTAAATATTTGAGATAAAATTTTGCCACTAGAAAGAATATGATTTTAAGTAATTAAACCTATAGGGACTGATGACAGCAAGAGCAGTCTGCACTACAGTTAGAGAAAACAGGGACTCCCAATTCTGGGGTGAGGCAAAAGGGGAAAAAGTAAAAACACTTCCCTCCTGGAAGGAGTGAAAAATTGAGAGAAGATGACTGAGGAAGGATGGCCACAGACTAGAAACTGCCCAGCATCTAGCACTGGAATCAAGTGAAGTGCTTTAGAGCTGGCCTTAGCTTATCTTGAAATAAGGTAGTCAGAAGACAGAGGACAATTTCAGGTTTGAGAGGTTAACATTTAGCTATTTCTTCAATTGTCTTCCTTTCTAGCTTGGGAAATACAACTTTCTGGAATTCTTTATAGTTGCATTTTTAAGCAAAAGTGAACTTGTCAACAGAGATGAAGTCTAATAAAATAGCCCTGACCTTAAATTGCCTACCTTCCAAGCCATCAAGTTCTTAGCCTTATAGAATGCACTTATTCTGAAGAAAAATGTGAATGACCCAATGCCCTAGTATAAGTGAGGGTGAGCCTGAAGGGCCCATGACTCACAGAGTTTCTGTCTCCCAAGAGCTGGGTAAAGGAAATAAAGGCAATGTAAGACAAGCAGAGCACCTGCTTCCTCGCTGACGGTCACACCCGCTAGTCTGCACTTGTCCATGCACTCTTCTCCGGACTGGCTGTCTGTGGACAGATGGCATTCAATGCAGCTCCTGCAAACAGGACCCAATCGAGGTTATCAGCTTATGTTGGTCGGAAGTAGATGTGCAACTGAAATGTTGCCTTGTTGCTGTTGCTGCGCTTCGTGCTCCAGGAGGGTCACCTAGATGACACTGGCCTTTTGTTACTTTCAGAGAAACATTTGGGTGCTGTGCACAAGGACACTGGATTATTCCAAATTCCACTTAGTAATCCACAATCCCTGAATCAGCCTTGATCATACTCAGAAAAATCACTCATTTTTCTGTAGTGATTTCTTCTGATTGGTTAAGAAAAATTATTTTTATATTTGATTTAGCCATTTTTTCACCTCACTTTTTCCTAGGGAGAGACTATTATGCTCATAAATATTTATAGAGACTATACAAAGTTTGAATATCTTAAACAGAAATGAGCTATATCTCAATCAGAATTCCCACAATAATTAATGCTCTTCATATATGTCATATGTGCTTATTTTAATAATCTACTTTTCTGTTAGTTTTTTAAAATAAATCCCAAGAGTTCATAGGAATATTTTAAAAAGCTTATGATTAGAGCCTGGATCCTCATTAATTCAGACTTTTTAATAAAAGATTTCTACTTATAAAAATGTAATTCCAGGGATATAAGGAAATTGAGATAGCTTAAAGTCATCTAGAGAGGAAAGTAGAATTTAGGCTGAGTTAATTTTGTGCTACGGATCACATGCCAAGTAGGTAGTATTGGAGTACACCAAAACAGCACAGCTTTTTTCCTGTGGGGACTGACATGGGTGCTACCTCTTTCTCCCAGGAGGCCACGGAAACATGTGCTCTTCTAAGTGCTTGAAACATGCCCTGCCTATGCCTCATCACATCTCAACTCAAGCTGCACTTTCTTAGGCAAACCCACCCTGACCCTTGCAGGGGAAGCCACAGAACTCCTCTGCAGGAAGGCCTTGGGGCAGCAACCCATGCGGGAATGGTAACAGAGGTCTTGCTGTGAAGTTTTCTTTGCTTTGCAAGCGTATTGCATTTATGTAAAGTACACATTTTATGGAGTGGTTTGGTGGGGGCCTGGTGGGGATTGTGGAAGCCCTTAAAAACTCCTTAGGATATGGCTATGATGGCTACAGTGGTAGACTTGTGGCCCTGTCTGTGGCCATAGAAGTGCATAGTCCTTCACATCCCTTTTTAAGTGGCAGCCTGGCTGCCATGGTAGGTTCTTTAAAAAAGTAGTCAACTTTCCCATCTGAGCACCTGAGAAAGCACGAACCTACTCTGTTCAGGCCACACTGCACGCCAGGTCTAACCCCCTTTCAATACCTATCTGATAAGTGAATTCATCTTAAATAGAGGAAGGCACTCAGTTCAAAACTAATACATACTAAGGAGTTCTGCTGCTTCTCAAGTTTTAATCACCTTGTTACTTTTCATATCATACAAGTCAGACTTAAGACTGAATTGTGTTTCTAGAAGAGATGGAATGAAAAGTAATAAAGGAAATGTCCTGAAGGGAAATCTTACATTTGATTCTACTCAAATGATTCTAATTATGTCCCCATGCTTTTGGCATGTTTTAGTTTGCTTGGGACAGGGACAGAGAAGTTTTAATAGCTGAATAGTGGGTAACCACTGAACAAAACTTGATTTTGTCTGTTTACATCAAAAAATGTTAATGTTACTGTTTGGGGTATCAGAGTTAATAAAAATATGAATGGCTTAAGATTTTGCTACTTTATATAAGCTGCAGTAGGACAGCAGTTATCTTGGGTACTTGCTTCACTTGACCTGTAAATTTTGCCCCAGTTCTATGAAGAAGTTAGCTGCTAAACAAACAAACAACTTTCTTTCTAGTAAATAAGAACTTGTGTGTGAGTGGGGTGTGTGGAGGTTGTTATCATTCTGATATGAAAATTACAATATACAATAGATATGTATAATAACAACCACAAAAAGGAGCCAACGATCACAGGGTGATAAAGAAGGAGGGGACCAAATGATAAGGCCTTCTCTCTGCCTCTGCCTCCATCGGTCTTGGGATAGAAGTGGGCAGGAAAGTCAGCCTATAAGCTTCCAGATAACAAACAGGCTTGCTTGCCTGCCTCCCCTGAAAAGGTTCTGACTGCACGTGGGTGTGAGCAGGCCACCTCCAGGACAGTCCCTCTGTGTGGCTGCTATTGTCACCCAGAGGCCACCTGATATTATCAGTGTGGGACATCAGCTGTACTTTCCCATGCTGTCTCTGGCAGAAATGTGACATTGTGACTCTGGGTAATCAGGACTGAGAAACAGGCAAAAGGGAGACTACGTTCCAGGACAAGGATCAGAGGGCCCTGGAGGGTTTGTGTGTTTTTGTGGAGGCAGGAAGACTAAATCCAGCAAAGACGATCTGAGGTCTGAGTTTACAAAACGTCATTAGAACTTCAATCACCAGAAAACCTATCCACAAAGGACTACAGAGAGGGGAGACATTACCGTTTAGAGTTACAGGGGTCACTACAGGTAGGACAGCGTTCACACGTGGGGCCCGAGGCTCCAGGGTCTGTGCAGGCGCACATGCCACAGACGCAGTGCCCGCGCCCGCTGCAGAGGGAACCGTCTTCGGAGATGCAGCTGTCTGTGCGGGTGGTGCAGTTGCAGTACTCGCCGGTCCAGCCGCTCCTGCACGCGCATTCCCCGCACTCGCAGTCCCCGTTATCTGTAAAACACACGCTCAAGGCTACCCGCGGCCAAAATCACTTGCAGGTTTTGTAGGGGTGGGGATGTCTTTTCTCTTTGCTTTCAACATTAACAAAGGATGGATGAGAAATAAGAAAAAATGAGAGAGAGAGAGAGAGAGAGAGAGAGAGAGAGAGAGAGAGAGAGAGAGAGAAAGGTGTGCAGGCACACTTTATTGAATGTGCTTTGGTAACAGCATGTATTTATTGTTTGGTCCCCTAACTGAAGATTCATTTGATTTACCTTACATTCTAGCAAACAGATGAAATGAGGTAATCCTGACATAGTTATGTGGTGAGTGTGTGTGTTTGTAATAGATACATATATAGTTCACTTCATTTTCTGTTCTTAATTAATATGCCCTAAGAGACAGAAGCATGCGGCCCCATCAGTACCCTCTCGGTTATATCCCTCAGGATGCATTACCATGAAAGCCTCATCTATATAGCAGAGAACACAATCCAGTTCTAATAGCTGTGATCAGGGGAGATAACTTACACAAATTTCCTGGTTTTGTATTCAACTGTTATTTGTTCCAAAAGCATACAAGCAAATACTAAACAAAGTCATTATTTAACAAATTTTAATTGAGCATCTACTGTATGCAGAAGATTATATTAGCCATGAAGATATAAATTTAAGTAAGACAAGTTCAATGAACTTATAATCTACTATAGAAGAATGGCAGATAAATACTATTCCTACTAAATGTAACACAGAACAATAGGTCTGTGTACATAAGGAGAAAGTTTCCAAATTACACTGGAAATCTGGGAAAGATTCCAGAGCAAGTGATGCTTGGGTTGGGCTTGGAAGATAAAGAGAGCAGATAGAAGAAGAGGGTTACCAGCATTTCAGGCAAATGATAAAAGCATGCAATCGTGTGCTCTGCTTAAAACCGTAAGTCTCATATGGATAGGAACCTATGGAATGGTGATAGGAAAGGATGGAAAGGCCAGAAAACTGGCAGAAGTCAGGTCATGAGAGATGATGTGGGCTTCAAGAACTTTTTTCTTGAGGGTTTTGGAATTACTAAATAGGCGACGGTCCTGGACAGATGTATATGTGTCTAGAAATATCTTGGCATCAGTACAGAGATTACACTAGAGACAGGAAAACCAATTGAGGGGTACCCTAAAGCACTGGCAACATACATAGGAAAAGAAAAAAGGATGAACAGTTCAGGGATGAAGTGCTCAGAGCATGGTGTGATGGGCACAAGGTGCAGGGTAAGGGCAGAGACAGAGGGAAGGAATCTTCCCGGAGCGCAACCTTTCCTCTGACCTGAAGTAGAAGCCAGCCTGTGCTCACTGTCATACACTCAATGCCTGTAGTACTCAATTTTTGAGTGAATAAGTGGTTCTGAAGCAGAAGGAGAAATTATATTTGGTTATGGAAGACAGCGTATTCACTTTTGTCTCTCCTAGTTGTTATTCTAGGTGGTTGAATATCTACAAATGAGTCTCAAAGTTGGGATCTGACTTTACCAAGGAGCAGGCATGCTGGGTCAGGTCATCCAGGAAAAGCAGGCAGAAAAGCTCTGGAGAGTATCAGGTTTTAAAATGTGGTCAGAGAAAAAGCTTCTCCTGAAAGAGACTGAAGGGTAAAGGTAGTGGGAATGATACTGCTGAAGCCGGGGACAAACACAGTCTGAGTAGAGAGGCACAGGGTCAACTTCTGTGGACAGGCCGCTCCGCTAGTGCTCGGAAGCCCTTTATGGGTCTAACCACATAACAGTTCATGTGACATACTCTAAAATGATAATGTGTTCAGCACAGTTGGTTTTTGTTTCTTTTTATAATATTTTGTGTGCCTGCCATGCTTAAGGTACTAAAACAGATGCTTGATATTCCAAACAAATAACATTTACTTACAAATTCTTATAAATGGGGCTGGGGAGATAGCTCAGTGGAATAAGCACTTCCCAGGCAAGTGCATGGGCCTGAGTTCAATCCCTGGTTCCACCAAAAAGCAAAACAAAACAAAACAAACAAACAAACAAACAAAAAACCAAGCAAATTCTTATAAATGATACTTTCTTCAGAAAAAGAAATGCACAGTGAAGCATTTTGCACCAAAAGTTTTGCTTTCCAGCAGAAATGAGGATTATCTACAACAGCATAAAACAGTGCTTCTAACAATGCCTAGCCCATAACTCAGCTCTATGTAAGTACTATTAGCATTATTAGCATTAGTGTTATTACAATTATTTCTCAAAACATCTGAAGAATTTATAAGCAAAATTATTCATCAGTATTAAAATTCCTGTACTTTTGCTGAAAAAAAGAGGATGTAAAATAAAATCACAAGTGATTCATTCTTTCACTGGTGGTCACACTGCCAGGTTTACTGTAGCATGAAGGATTTTGGGTTTTCTCTTGTAAACTTTGGTCTAGTACTTAGCTCCTTTTCTGCCTTCATAACTTGGGCTAACAGACTAAGAGTGGCAAAGTCCAGGTCAGTAAGAGAGCTCAGTGGACAAAGTGCCTGCTTAAACAAGTGCAGGGACTGGGCTTCGAATCCTGGCACCGCATTCCACCCCAGCCCTGCCCACAGGTGTGCTGAGCAGGCCACCAAGACTGGGTGTGGTGGCACATGCCTATAATCCCAGCACCAGGGAGGCTGAGACAGGAGGATCATTATTAGTCTGAGCTGCGTAGTAAGACCCTGTACCAAATACATTTTTTTTAAAAAAGAAGAACAAAGTCCTTAAATGCTTTACACAGCCAAGAATCACTGAAAAAAAATGACTAAAGTTTCAAAGTTGGATTCTCATTGCTCCTGGTGTGTATGTTTACATACATATGCATTTGAGCATGTGTGTGTATGTTTACACATTTTTCTCTGTATATGCGTATGCTGTGTATATACACTAAAATCATGCTTCTCTAATGAAAGCCAAATTAAACTTTTATCTGGATTTATGATGTTAAAAGATAACCCAAATGCATTTTTTTCTTTCTTTTTTTATGTATTTAGTACAGGATCTACAGATCACACTATACAGATAGGATTTGTAGTGATTCTCCTGTTTGCAGCCTCCCACGATCTGGGATTACAGACACACACTACCACACCCAGTCTTACTCGCTGTCTCAGAGTCGCTGTCTCGGGGCGGGAGTGGCATGGCACACTGGGGATCAACCCCTGGCCTCTGCATCTGCCTAATCAGGTGCATTAGTCCTCTGCACTATCTGGATGGTCTCCCCAATGCATTTCATTACCTATGTAACTTGTAATTGAACTATTAATTCAAAACCAAAAATAATAAAGTAATAAAATTTCTATATATAAGTGATCTTAAGAGTTATAAAATTTCTTTGTTCCTTCCTCAGCAAAAGAAGAAACTTATATTCATGACATGAAGACATTTCTAAACTGCAATGTCTGAAAATTAATATGATCCAAAAGTATTATTAAATGAATATTCATCTCCAAACACTGGAAATGCCAGAGGATACCATTGCCTGTAAGAATTAGTTGGCAGAAATTTAGAAAACTTCCTAGAGCAGTAAAAAAGGAGTATCACAACAAAAACACAACACTCTTTTCAAAATTTAGAAAGCCTCAGATCTGATGGCCTCAGGATCAGCAACCCAGTCTCCAAAGTTGCTATTTAATACCTTCAAGCGATCAGTTGTGTAAAGCATCTGTTCATAAACCACAACAACAACAAAAACAGCTTCAAGAAATTTGTACTTAGTCACATGTAGAGGCCGGATAATAACTAAAAAGTTGTTAGCAGGCTCATTTCAGATGGATAGATCTTTCTGAAAGTCATGACAAATAACAGTAAGTGCATAATGGCAGGAAGCTTGTTCCCTAATACTATTTGCCTCTTACTGTTTCCAGCCTCTTAGAATCAAAGTATAAGAGACAAATGGAATTTGATCAAGGAAAAAAATCAATGGAACCCTCTATCTTTGAGATTACAGATGGATGAAAGAAGTTGCATGAAAAAGGACATCGTGATAATAGCCCTTCGGAAAGCAGCACATGGCCAGCATATTACTTGTAAAACAAATGAGATGACACAACTTGTGAAGCTGTAGCCTATTTGGCCTGCTTTGAAAATCACAGCAGCAGCAGCAGCAGCAGCAGCAGCAGCAGCAGCAGCAGCAGCAGCAGCAATATCTGCACAACAGTGCCAGGCATAGTTTTCATCCCTGCACCAAGCACAAACCCAGCACACCGTAGATACTCCACAAATACTTGTTGAATTTATGAAACTGTGTTTACCTTTAGTGTACCTTTTAAAAGAGACAAACGATAGAATAACATCTTTGGTGATGCTACTGAAAAACAAAAGAGCTTTTCAGAAAGAGTAATGTTTGAAGATCATAAAGTACTCCACAGTATGAAAGAAACTGGCATTGTTCGAGTTTTCTAAGTCCAACTGAGGAAATAATTGTGTTTTCTAAATAGAATTTCTGTATTTGATTAAAAAGAGAGGTGTTTTTGTCAGAACTTCCTAACTAATGTACAGATCAAATCAACTCTGAGTTTATTTTTGCTCCTTCTGTATACAAGTGCAGTGAAAGACGGTCAAGGGATGCAAGCTGCTGGCCCACTTGAGTGATTTACACTGTCCTAGGTCCCGCTGACCCAGGATGTAAAGGGTGATGTACAGGTAGAGTTACTATCACTATTGGACTAGGTTGCCTTCAGAATTTTTAAAAAGAGGAAAGGCAAATGTTTTGAACATGCATGTATTAAAAGACTTGCAGTAGAAATACAGTGTGGGATTCTGCTGAATGTCTTTTTTCTGTGATGTGGTGACAGCCTCTGGGTGACTTCCTGCCACCTTCAGATTGTGTCCCGCAGGCATCATGTGAAGAAAGAGCTGAGACAGGCTTAGAAAGCTACTGTCGATCAGAAAATAAACCTTTGAGTGAAAAAGGAGAGAAATGGGTCAGAACTGGAACAGATCCTAAAATTTTACTCTTTGTTGGGGGTGGGGGTGGAAAGGGAAATTTTGCTCAGAAGAACCTATTGGGAGCCACCACAGCAGCGAAGAAATGAAAGTAATAGACTCCTAAGGGTTTCAAATGGTTTTTGAAAGGCTTGGAGCTCTTTGAGGCCTCTTTCTTTCAGGCTTTCCCCCCTTGGAAATTAGTCTCTTTTATATGTTCCTGACACTGTGGCTTGCAAACATGACTTTGCTTAGTTTTCTATAAAGATAATGAATTTCTGTTTTGAAGAGCTGTCTGCTTACACACTGTGGGAAACCAAGACATTAGATCTTAAATTCAGCAGCCAGCTACAATTTCAATTGTAGTACAAATTTAGATAATTTAAAAATATATGAACATGTTTATAATTCTTGTCTGATTAGGTTATACTCAATTGCATGTGTCTGTTTGTTGGAATGAATTATAGCAGTCATGTTACAGATGATGAACTCTTTTGTAATGAGAGATTTTGCAACAATATTTTTACTTCAAACTTTTCTCAAATTTCTCGAGAAACTAGAAGGAATTTTCTATTTTTATTCTTTTGGTAGGATTCCTCACATATGCTTACCCATCTTCATTAGACTCAACTAAACCTAGTATCTGTCACATGGTAGGTATTTAATAAATATTTGTGGAATAAGTAAAGGTCCTGAAAATCCACTTGGCATTTCTGTGTTCCTTGTCTTGGGCAATATGCTTTTAATTTTTAATATTTATTCATTTATTTGGTACAGGGTCTCACTACACAGGTCAGATTCATAATGATCCCCCTGTCTCAGCCTCCCCAGTGCTGATATTATAGGCGTGCGCCACCATGTCCGGTTTCAGTGGCTGGCACAGCATGCCTGAGATCCTGTGACTAGCAGGGCATGCAACACTGGGGATTGAACCTAAGCCCTTGAGCTTGCCAGACAGGTGCTTAGCATGCCAAGCTATCTCCCAAGCCCTGCTTTTACTTTTTGAGATATGTTTTTTGTTTTGTTTTGTTTTCAGTGTAGCAGACATTTAAGAGTTGAATCAAACCTAGCAGCTTCACCCAGAATGCTCTAGAAGATAATGAGAGTTCAGTCCACAGGAGGGCACTTACTATGCCCAAGAAAACAAGGAAGGGGCAAAATATGCACAGCACCTTCCTGGAACCTGAACAGCTGTAGCCTGAGAGGGACTTAGCTGAAACCTACCTCCACAGAGCAGCCCTTTGTGTCTCACACAGGAGAAATTGTCACACTGGCAGTAAGGTCCATAAATGTTTCCATAGGGAGACAAGTGGCAGATGCACTGTCCACAGTAGCAGTCGCCCCTTCCACTGCACGAGGGATGGTCTGGGGCCTCCTTGCAGGAATCTGTGCTCACAGTGTCCTCGCCGCACTCACAGTGGGGGCCCATGTGGCCGGGGTTACAGGCGCACACCCCACACTGGAAGGAGCCGTTCCCTCCGTGGCACTTGGAGCTGTTCACTTCCACTTCTTGCTGACAGTCGCAACTGCATTCTGCGCTGACAAGGATTTCCAGGGTGTCCCCCAGCCCCACCGGCTTTATGATAATGTGCCTGCTTTTTCTCTCACAGTTTGATATACTCACAGTCACATTGAACGAAGCCTGGAAAAGAAAATACTAATTATCTGCTTCTTCCATTCACCAACCTGCAGAAGGCAAAACAAAGCTGTGGGGAAATCACTTTTGCCAAAAAGGAAAAAGTGTGTAAGGACATCTCCGCAATTCTTGGTAGAAGTCTGGTTTCAATGAGCTGAGCTCATCTCTGCCCACCCAAATACTTCCCAGCCATTCTACTGGCCATCTGCTTACCGTTTCTCCCACTTTCATGTGCAAGCATTTCTTCTGGTGGGGGAAAAGGGTACCATTGTTACAGGCAGCTGTGAAGGAAAGATTGAGTCCTTCTGTGTCTCCTAATACTTCCAGCTCTACCTCAGACCGCAGTTCCTGTCATGAAGACAAGAAGAGATCATGAGTCACAGCTGAAAGATTACAGCCAGAAGAAGCAACCGGGAGTCGTGTTCATTCAGCTACATGTGGCTAAAATTAAATTGGTTCTCAAAGAAATTCTCCATATCATGAAGCAAGCAGACAACAGCACATTTCATATTTTATCTAATATAAGACATTAATTATAAGATGCACTATTTTAAAAATTATTCTGTTATAAAATGCCTGAGATTGTTCTGCAGAATGCTGTGTATCATAGACATCAATTTATCATTGCTCTGAGAAGCATTTCATCATTCTGAAGGATCTGAAAATTCTCCTACCTTGAGTTGCACAGCTTGGTACATAAAAGGCGATTCTTTTGCTTATGTATTACTAACATAATAGAACAATGGGTGCCTTTACTTGCACGTGTCATTATTTCCTAAGTCCCATAAAGCAGCTGGTTGCTGCTTTTTAAGGAACTTAGAATTGAAGCCATTTCTCCAAGGATGAATGTCGCTTCACTTATATCAAATTTACACCCTGCTGCTCTGTTTTGGTTTACATTTCTGCATGTGTAATAGCTTCGTATCCCAACGTTGAGTCATAGTGCAAACTTTTGAAGATATTTTAAAATGCCAATTAAACTTAGTGCTTCTAGAAGCCACAATGCATGTAACAACTTGGAATGATGGCGACCACATTATCAGTGAAAACTCTACCCTTGATTGCTGCCTGGCACACAGTGGTGGTAAGAGAACATTAATTACAAGATGAACACCAGTTTTAGAAGTATTAAAATGTAGGGGGGGAAACTGTGCCTTATTGGAATGATTGAACACCTATGATATATTAAGTGTAGAGTCAGGGAAAGACTAAATTTCTTCTCTCAAATGCATCATCTTGCATTTTCTATTTCTTTTTTCTTTGGAGGACAAAACCAAATTATTAAAAACTCCAATTAGAAAAGTTTTGGAGATGTAGCTCAGCAGTACAGCACTTGCCTAGCAAATGTGGCCTGGATTCACTCCTCTGTACAAAAGAATAAAAGTAAATTTCAAAATATTATGAATTAAGTTATTGTTCAAATCATTTGAATGGCTTTAAGACAGCAAACTGATTTCACTGTTGACATCTTATTTATTTATTTAGTTTTTTTGTGAGACAGAGTCTCACTCTGCAGGTCTGGCTGGCCTTCAGCTCACTTTGTAGCCGAGGCTGGTCTCGAACTTGCAAGGATCATCGTGCCTCAGTATCCCAAGTGCTGGGATTACAGGCATGCACCACCACACGCAGCTTTCATTGTTGACATTTTATAAAACGTATTCAGCTTCAAATTTTCCTGAGCTATAATATTATCTGCTGTATAGTAAGGTGACCCTGCCTTTTCCACATTGTGCTTATACTGAAATCATCAAGAATTAAGACCGAGTAGTGTTGGGGAAGTGGCACAGTGAGGTGGGAGCAAAATGAGAAATGAAAGATGTATCTGTAGGTGACAGCCATAGTGAGGGCTAGTGAGTGACATAATCTAACCTAAATGAAAGGAATCTAGGATTGATGTAACTGAGTATCATACTGCAAATTTAACCAGGAATATTTTAATGCAAATTTCCCAGGGAAAGGACATCAATGTTAACTTCTAGTTTTCATCACTTCATTAATTTATTTATGGACCACCTCTTCTGAGGCAGGCAAAGAAAACAAGCCAGGTGAATTTTTTCTTATGGTTTAAATCCCAGTAGAAGAGTTTACCCTTGGGTGCATTGATAATTCTAGTAGCTTTTATACTATGTTTACAGAAGAAATGAAATTAGCAAGAGATGGTCAGGCAAGCACACATCCAGTATTTAAGATTTTTATATCAAGAGTTAACAAAGAAGGTAAAATACCAAGCTGATGTTTGTAGCCACAAATTGTCAACACATATTTCCTCTGCTCTATTAGAGGTTAGTCAGAAATGTTTTATGTAGTCTCTCCATAATTCCCTTCCATCTCTTTTTTTAGTCTGAAGAAGAAACTCAGTCTGAAGGTCCCTATATTTTAGTCTTTTATGAGTACATTTAAAAATGACAATAGTAAAAGACAATTGATATCAGTGCCATAACCGACTGCATACTTTATCCATAACTCAAGATATTTTTGAGACTGTAAAACAAGGGCATATGATGCAGTTCAAGTGTTTAATGTCTTTATTTCAACTGCTTCATAAATTATGTGAATGACTGGGGACAATAAATTGAGATGGAACTTCTGACAGAGAAAGCAGGGGGGATGGATGAGGTTGTCAGGGTGCAGGGAGGAAACACTTTTGACAAGTCACTATCTTCTGATTTGTCTGATTTCTTAGTTGTTAGTGGCCAGCACTGTTATGAGTATTGTGGTAAAGAAAATGCAATGTGTTATAATTCAGTGAAGGCTTGCACTGTGATTTTGTTTGATTTCACACACTAAAATGTTGCTTCACAAGAAGGAAGAAGGTTCTTTATTTTTTTTATTTTATTTTTTTTTTTTGTGGTACTGGGGATTGAACTTAGGACCCTGCACTTGCCAGGCAAGTGCTTATTTTACTGAGTTATCTCCCCGGGCCTGGAAGAAGGTTCTTACAGTGTTTTGTTGACAAGTTTTCCTATCTAGAAGAATTTCAAGTCTGAACTAATGCGGCAATTAATGTTTGATCTGAACTGAGGACACTGAAATTTCTGAGTATTATTAGTGAGAAAAGCCCTGTCCTCTTGTTACTTTTGTGGATACAGCTATATTTAGTTCTTTGAGTAAATGAAGCATTTGAGAAGAACTACCTTGCTTTTGCTCCTTCGGGTGAATTTCAAAATTGGTACGGTAATGTCAAAGCCACAGAGGAGTTTTGTTTTCACAATACTGGGCTGGCCAAATGGCTCAGTGGATTAAAGCACCTGCAAGCAGGCCCATGGGCTGGGGATTTGATCCCTGATCCCCCGGCCTGCTGTACTTGTCCCACCCCTGGGGCGCTCTGAGACAGCAACTGAGACTGGGCTTGGTGGCGCGCACCTGTAATCCCAGAATTTGGGAGGCTTTAAATAGGAGAATCACTATGAGTCCAATCTAGTAGTGAGACCCTGAACACCCTGTAGACCCTTCCCTAAAATAGAAAAACAAAAACAAAAACAAAACCATAGCTTTCCCTTTCTTTACTCTTCTCCAGAGAGGTATGTGAAAGAAATCTGAGCACATCTTTTTTTAAGTTTCCCAGATGCTTCTGACAAGTCACTGCACTTGTCGCTAGCACAGTGTACGCTAAGTACGACGGCATGCGGATCATTGACTTGCAATGTTCAAACAGCACAAATTAGGAAACTTTTACTCATTCAGCATTGTGCAAATGCTGTTTAGAGCAAACTTTGAGCTTTACTGGTCTCTAAAAATGTACTTTTACCTGCTTCTCATAATTTTCTAATTTAGAGCTACATATACATTCTTCTTCTTCTTTTTTTTTTTTTTTGTAAGTGAAGTCAGCAAGAGAATATTTAGGAGCCAAAATACAGAAAAGTGAGCAATTGGCTATCTATTTTTGTCCAATGAAATTAGGAAATGGGGACAAAAAAAGGAGAATAACAACTCTGCAAGTACGTATCTTAATTTCAGGGAAGAATTCTGTCCTCAGTACTAATTCATGAACACCAGGCCAAAAATCATATAAGTACTCATTAAACAAATGAAAATTTCCTTGGTCCCCTAACAAGCGATGTGCTCTGTGGGTTTCACTGCATAGGCAGCTCTTGCAGTTTTGCTCAAGCTATGACATCATCTCATTAAGCCTATGGAGTTGGTTTCCCCATATTTCTGTTACTCACTGAATTCATTTACACTGAATTCTTTTTTAGGCAGAGGAGAACTTAATTATAAGACTCATGGAGTCTTTTCAGTCAAATTAAAACTTTGCCAGGAACAGTACTGCTATTTGAACTCTAGGATCAGGTTTTGGCTTTATTCACCTTCTGTGCCCCCTTTCAGAAAGAAGATCTGCAAATGAAGTAAATAAAATTCATTTACTTCATTCAATCCTTCTGTGTTGGCTACACTAACACAGAAGGATTGCCTTAGATAAGCACTGTCTCTCCCAATAAACAAGAGGGCACATCACTGCCTAAAACAACACATCTTAGTTTTTGAATACTACAGCCATGCAAACGAGAAGTCAACTTTTCATAAAGTAAAATGTCATACTTCATAAGCTGAGATGATCAGCTGGAGAATGTTTCCAGAGTCCTTGTGAAGTAGCCCCACTGTGGCTCCAGGAATAAGCTTTGCATAATTCTGTAAACAAACAAACAAGACTGAGTCAATCTTTGCTCCAAATTACTTAGAAATGCTAAATATGAAGTTCAGTTTGTGGGTTGTGATCCTTTACTTAATAGGCTGGGAGAACAGGCTCCTGATCGTAACTAGGGATTTCCCTGAAAATGGAATACCTACTTGACGCTGCTTACTGAAGTCCAGTGGGAAATGGATTGGCCAGGACTGCTTTGGGGAGATCCAGAATTTATGGTTGCCTTGTTCTAGGACTGTGACTTATATCATGACAGGATTCATGTCTCAAATAATAACATTTAAATAATGTCTTCCATTCCTGGAGCATGGTTTGTCCAAAAACTTTTGAGCACGAATCTAGGAAATTCCTTCTCTTTTTAGCATTATAGAAACCAAGGTTTGATAATGAGACAATCAGGTTGTTGGGTAAGTCACTGGTTCACAGCACTTTGCGAATGCCTGCTTGGTGGACAAATGGAAGGTACTATAGGACAGCTGCTGTTGACTCTCCCTTTCTGGATGGCAGTGAGCACTGTTTGGAAGTATCAGCATAGTCCAGGATCTGGCTGGAGTTGATCTCGCTACATCACAATCCTGTAAGTCAGAACATATTTCTAAATAGTCTGCATATTCTGCTTATGTTTCCTGTGAGAGCACACAGTACCAGTTCTTCACCACCCAGCTAGCAAGCCCAGCCAGAGGACTTTGGCACTGCAAAGAAGTGAGCTGTCCAGACGTCTGCATGGTATTTCTCTTACAGCTTCCTAAAGTGCATGTTACACATTGACTTAAAGGCTCATGAGAACACACCAATTTATTTTTAAAGGAATAGAGTTATATTTGCCATTATTTACTGTTCTGTATGCCTCAAAGAGTTTCATAACCCCTATAGAAGTTATACTTACACCGTGTAGGCCCTGCCTGCTATGTTTTGTTTCTTGTATTTGTTGTAAAATGATTTCTACCTCCTCCTTGTTAAACCCTCAGGTTCACTAGCTAACTAACTCATTTACAAATTTATTTGTTTACTGTTGCAGGCAACAACATCTAGTAAGTAGGCTTGATAATCTGCACCAGATAAGTAACAGCTAGCACTTTTGGTCAGCATGGTCTTCTGCATCACTGTGTGTAGTAAAAGCAGATGACTGAGTTACTGAAATTGCATATAGGAAAAGTAAGTACACTTGGAGTCATAGATTCAGGACATCGTGTATAGTTCCAATGTAAGTTAAATAAGCCTTCTTATTCTAAAGAAGATTCAGAAAGTGCATGAAAATGAATTAGAATTAATAATCTAATTATGATGGTGATTCTAAGTATATAAAACAGATAATTATAGCGAATGAGAGGAACAAAAGGAGCCAGGATGATGTTAGAACACTAAGGCAGGTGGAAGTACTGGTGTGTGCTAGATGTGGGAGCCTGGGTGTGTCCAAGCTCTCTACTCTATATGTAAGGGAAAAAAAATAGGTTTTGGTTTTGATTTATGGGCTTTGTAATGTTCCACTTACTTCAGTGTTCATGCCCAAAGTTGCTAGAAATCTAAACTGTTAAGTGTGTCAGGTGTGGCTGTGCCTGGACACTGCATTTTACTATTGAGGGGGCTGCAGGTAATGCTCCTCATCTTAGTCCATGCACCACTCCTGCCTGTTGGCCACGGGCCCTCTTCTATTTCCCTGAGTCAGGTAGAACTTGTAAAATACCAGGACGGCACCACTTCATCAACTTACCTCTTCAAATAAACACATGCCACAAGAGGCTGTGAAGCATGAGACCTGTGGTTAATAACAAATGCTTAGCTATGGACTTGCATTCCGCTCATGTGGTGCTGGAAGGCGTGTAAATTTGACTGATCCCAGAAGACAGTCAGAGGCAATTTTAGAGCTCAACAAAGAAAGGTTTAGATCCTCCAAAAAAACCATTTCAAGGCTCTTAGCTTTGCATGACCACTGCCATCCTTCAACTCCATTCTGGTACGCCCAGGAAGGCAAGGCCATGGGAATTTTCTGCAAGCACTAGTTCAAGGAGGCTCCAGATTTGGGGTTAATTATTGACTAACAAAGCTGAGTTCATCGGCATCTTAAGGCGTAACTACAATTCCACAGCAGTTTGACATTTGGCATTTGGCTATTAGTGGATCATGTTAAATGGATAACATTCCTGGCATTTGTTGAGGGCCAGCAGAGCAAGGCTGTAGACAAACTGGCAGCTGGTAGGGTGAACCAGTGCTAGCACTGACAATTGTGGAGAGAAAGACTATTAATTATTTTCTGGATGCTGATCCCCCCAGAAGCATTTGAAATAATTAACTGAAAACATGGATAATTTGGCTTCGTTAAATAATACTTCAAATCTGGTATTATTATGGTCACTGTAAATATCATGTATCAAGCGCCTTCCTTGAATTAAGGTCCTTAGGTGTTATTATAAATTGTCATGATTAAACAAGTTTAATGTTAGAAAAAGGATGATTTTGCATGCCTTTGAAAGATGATGATGCTTGGATATTAGAAATGGTGAATTCTGTAAGCATGAGGTTGCATGAGCTGATTAAAAATCCAAAACTCTATGCTTGGGCTTGACTTCTATATTAAATTTTCTGTAGATTATCCTACTTAGGTTTTCTTCCAACCCTCTGCTATGCCACCTAGGAGTCTCCTGCGTTGCACTTCTCAGTCACTCTGTCTTAGTTTATTTTCTTCTTCAAGCCTAATTGATTTGCTCATTCCATCCCCATCTCAAAAAATATTTTACTTGTTCAAGAGAGAATTTGCTCCCTGAAAATCTCCTTGTCAAGGATAGAGAATTAGAAGAGGACAGGAGCCATTTAGTGGACAGGCGTCAGAAGAGAGAGGACAGCACCTGACTTCACACCTGCACTCTCCAGGCTCCTCTCGAACCCCTCAGTATCTGACTACCAGAACCAGTTGCCAGGTGTGCACTCCAGCTTGGCTCAGGCTGAGGAACATGTAGTGAGTTTCACACCTGCTGGCTGGCGGACAGGCCATGGCTTGGCTTTCTCTTCAAAGAGATTCAGGCCCTCTCCTGCTTTTGGTCATGTCTTGGTGCTCTCACCCCAGAAGGGACAGCTTCCGATGTGACCTCCATTCCTGCATTGATTGTTGGATATGTCCTCAGAGCCTGGCTGGCATCTGGATCCATGTTTAGTACTACATGTATCTTTGTTGATATCTTGTTTTGGATTCTACCTTGGACGGTGTGGTGACTCTAGTCTGGAGCCATATGTTCCGCTCCAGGGACCTTTTCGCTGCAGTCTGGAGGTTGTTTTACCTTCACAGAGGTCACTAACCATCATTTTATAGAGATCACATATTCATGCCTCTCAGTAGAGCACGGAGAGCAAAATCAGCTGGCCACATACTGTCTAGAAACATTTTCATAAAGAATGTGTAAAACCAGCTAGAGCTATGAGCCACTTCTCTTCAGGCTTTGAGCTTACATATAACTCTTTCTATGAAGTCTCCCTAACATCACTACTTCACTTTATGTTCAGCAGTGATAGAAGATTAACATTGTTAGCTTTCAGTATGTTAGCAACCTGCATTAATGTTTACATTCTTAATTATACTTACTAAATTTACATTTATAGCTGTATATTTCACCACAGTTGAATTATAAAAGTGACCTATAGCCCGTCAATAAATGAATGGATGAAGAAAATGTGGCAGTGTGCACGATGGAGTTATATTCAACCATAAAGAAAGATAACTTTGAATCATTTGTCGGAAAATGGATGTATCTTGAGATACTAATGCTAAGTGGAATAAATCAGATTTAGGAGATTAATTATCACATGGTTTTGTTAATAAGAGAAGCCCCAAATGTAAATCTTTGAAAGAACAAAAATGAAGGGAAAGAGTAGGAAACAGAGAAGTGGACTGTAAAGATGGAAAGTGATATGGGAGAGGAGGGAAGAGGTCATTGGGGAAAGGGGTGTAAATGCTGTGTTCTGTGTATGTACCACTTCCTCACCATGAATACAATGATTATGCATCACAGATATATACTGACAAAAAGGAAAAAAATATATTGGCTATAAGATTGGCTTGTATAGACTGAGAACTCAGGATGTTACATCTGCTCAAAAACACTTCACCTCATCTTTCAATGTTTTCTTGTCATTTCTTTGTGCTCTTTTGGTCAGTGGCTCCTGGCTGTGCTCTTTTCCCCCAAAAGTTCAATAGCAGCATAATACACATACATAGTGTTCAAGTAGTAAGGATTCAATTCAGTGAGGATTTAAAAGGTGAATGAGAAACTGAAAGCACCTGGAAGATCAAGCAATCAAACATGAACCCTCCCCTGGAATCCTCCCTGTCTGCTTCCCAGTCATTGGTCATCACCCCTCTGCTTGTAGCATAAAATTGTCTTAACTTTCATTACTATAGAAGTCAGGGAAGACATCTTCATGGCCTCAAAGTTAAAAACCTGTCTTATATGAGACACGAAAAGCACTACTGATGAAGGAAAAGATGGATAAATAGGACTTCTAGAGTTCCAATGTAATCCCAGTCAAAATATGTGCTCTGAATTAAGGCAAAAGGCTTAGAGTAGCCAACTTAATACTGAATGAGAAAAAGTAAGTTGGGAGACTGATACTACTTGAACTTAAGACTTACTCTAAAGCTACAGTAATCAAGACAATGTGGTTCAAAGAACAAAAAGACAAGGAGATCAATGGAGAGAAAGAGTTTAGAAATACACCCACAAAAATATAATCAACTGATTGTTGATGAAGAAGGAAGGCTACCACCCTAAGAAAAAATAGTATGTTCAACAACAGGTACTGAAGCAATTGGATATCCACGTGCAAAAAAGTCAGTCTAGATACACACCTTGTAGGTTTCATAAATATTAACTCAAAATGCATTACAGAGCTAATTAAAAATGTAAAACCAGGGCTGGGCAGATATCTCAGCAGACTAAAGCAACTGATTCAGCAGAGCACTGTGACTGGGGTTCAATCCCTGATATGCTGTGCAAAC